CCCTCAGCACAGGTCTTTGTGCTGCTGACAGGAAGGGCTGCTTGAATGCTCACATCTGTGGTCCTGGAAAACCAGGTGGATGTTTGGCAAGAGGCTCTGTTCCCTGTGCAGTACTGCCCCAGAGTGGGGCATTCTGATCATGACGTGAGACGTAACCACCCAATAATTTGGATTAAGTAGGAATTTCGGTGCCTCCACCCTGTTTACTGAATGATGACTTATTTGAAAAGCAATTTCCTGTATTTTAAAACAAACAAACCAAAGCTCTTCAACAGCTTCTGTTCCATTCGTTTTTGACTTTCTATGGAGTCTTAGCAAACACATTGGCTTTGGAACTGGAATCTAATTCATCTTGCCCTTAGCTGTTACCCATGGCTCTGTCCTTTACAGACAGAAAAATTCCATCAGGCAAAGCAGGATCTTTCATTAGATTGATGGAATCTGTACATCTGCCTTCTCATTAGATATCAAGTCTTGGTTCTGGTCTAAACCAGATCTGTCCCCAGGATTTCAAGTAAAACAAGAAACCCCTCACGTTGTACCGGGCCACAGTCTGTACCCTCCCAGCTCTCCCTCAGGCCCTGGTGGGCTGGCAAACAGTCAGGACCATGGAGGACTCGCTCCAGGACGCCTGCATGTGCCCCAATCTGTAGGCACTCAAGTCCCTTCTGAAAAAAGCTGTCATATTTACACAGCACCTACATCATCCTTCCATGTGCTTTAACCCATCAATAGATTATTTATAACATACTGTGTAAATAGCTGTTACACCATGTTATTTAGAGAGTAAGGACCAGGAAAAAGGTTTACACTTATTTAGTACAGACATATTTTTTAAGGTTTCTGATCCAAGGTTGGTTGACTCCAGGGGTGCAAAATCCACAGATAGGAAGAATTATGCAGGCACATGGTTGGTGCAAGGGTGAGGTACAGATTCTATGACATGACTTCTGAAAAAATAGACCTTTGAGGGAGTGTCAGTCAGATTTTCTGTCACTAGAGTTGGTACAGGGAGCTCATAAGAGCTTGTTTCTGTGTGCTACTTTGTGTCTTCCTAACTTTTTTAAAAAAGCTGAAATATGCCTCAAGTATATTTCTTTGATATTTTTCCATTATGTTATTTTTTTTAAATGTACTAGTTATTTAAGTAGGTTCTTAGAAATTTAGAACACTAATTTATGAGGATAAATTCCATTTGTCAGATCAAAAATGGATCACAGGTAGCCCCAGAGCTGTAGGAACAGCTTTGATTTTTGCTAAAATCTGAGTCCACCGCTTTCTGATCCACCTTGCGCTGCTCTGAAATCTGGTATCTCTCTTTCTCGGTGTCGAAGATCTCGCCCTCCTGGTGTCTGGGTTTCCGCAACTTCTTGTTGAAGTAAGCATCAGTGAGGTGTTTGGGGATTTTCACTTTGCTGATATCAGTTTTTGTAGACAATGACAAATTTCTGGTTTGTTCTTCATAGAGGAACATGCTTAAGGCTAAAAGGCCCAGTCACAAGTAGCAAGCCATGGCCAGCTGCTTCAGGAAGACCACTCTTTTGCCTCTGTGACGCCCGGTGAGGATGATCATGATGGTGCCGGAAGTGATGCTGGCTCAAAGTTTCCTCGTTGACTGAAGGGTTTCTTGCTGTGGCTCAAGCTTTTGGGGCACATCTTCAGTATGGTAGTATCTAGGCATCTTTTGAAGTTTAACCATGCAGATATCTCCATTCTTGTCCCCACCAACCGGTTTTGTGATGGTAGCTAGAACTTCCTCCTTTTTCTTCTCAACCTTTGATTTAGCAGCTGTGTACTTTCTCTTGTACAAAGCCTTTCTGGAATACATGGCAGATCAGGAGTATCTACCAATTCCTCTAACCAGAACAGGATTTCAGCTGCTGTGGGGCTTCCCCTTCTTGGACTTTTTTGCCTTCTTCACCTTACCCTTTTTACAGGTACCACTGGCAGCAGCCTTCTTGGCTTTAGGTTTCTTCTCTTTAGTGTCTGGCTTCTCAGTTTTTCATCTGCCATCTTGCAAGATGGGAAAGAGAACTAAGTTTCCCTCCATTATGTTTAAAATTAATTTTTTCCATTAATTTTTTTCTCTTGCTATTTTAGAAATGTGGAAAATTTAAGAAGTACACAAAAGAAAATGAAATTTTAAGTATCACTCCTTGAAATAATTGTCAATATTTTAGTACTTTGTCCACTTGAGTATTTTTTCATTATTAAATTTTCTTATATTAAAAATTGTTTTTAGCTGAGTATGGTGGTACATGCCTAGATTCCCAGCACTCAGAAGGCTAGGACAGGAGAATCACTAAGAGTTTAAGGCCAGCCTGGACTATGTAATGAATTCAAGGCCAGTCTGATCTACGTAGTGACCCCCTCTCTCAAAAAAATTAAAAAATAATTTTTAATGGCTAAAAACTAATCTAACACACCAAACATTTTTCTTGTTACCATTAGACAGTCACTTCCTCTAGCCAAAGCTTCTTCACCATCATCTTTGCGTGACTTAAACTCTTACATTTCAATTTGACACACACATATATGTATATGTATGTCATATATATTTTTATGTATATAAAACATAGAACATATATGTTTTATGGATGTCATATGTATATGTTTTTTCATGCTTATTACAAAGACCATAAAAATTACTTAAATGTAAATGTGTAAATTGTTTCTCTTTGATAGCTTCTAGGAAATGGACTTACTGGGCTGTAGCACAGGAACCATGTGGATTGCTTGCTACGTGGGCTGAGTGGGCTTTCCAGACTGTACGTCCTCACCGTCAATCTCCACAAATTTTCAAAAGAAAGCAGATAGAGACTCCATGTTTGGGGGATATGTAAAGCCATATTTTAAGCCAATTTTGTTTAATTTAGCTTTGCCTTCATATTTATTGCAGGCTGAACATCTTCATCTTCAGTTCTTTGAGGCTGTTTAAGAATGTTTCGGTTCCTGGTCTTCTGATCTGATGTTACTGTTTTTCTCCTTTAAGTGTGTCCACAGACACATATATTTTCCCCGTAGGTCTATTTTTTTCTTTGTGTGTGACTCATGGGTTTCCCACTGCCCATATTCTTTCTCCAGTGGTTCCTTTCCTTAATGTCCCATTGTTTTGTCTGTGACTGTGGTCTTGGTCTTTGCCCCCTGTCTCCACTTCTTTGTCCTTTCTCTCCTCTTCATCCCGTGTCTTGGAATGAGAGTGCTATCGCTTGTAGGAGCAGCAAAACTTACACAGCTCTATGGTTTTATGTGTTTGCCATCTTCTCATCACTGGTCAATTTTGAGCAGACCTTCACATGAAAGTTTGCTTAATTGTATCCATGCGCCCTAGACATTGTCCCTGGATTTCTCATCCTCTGTATATACAGTTATTTGCATTGCAGGAGATCTCTCCAATATTTATAATAGTTATTTATAGTTTCCATTAGTACTGTTTTACTCTAACATAGTTGACCATTTGGAATTTAAACTTGAGAGCATTCCAGAGTGAATAGAGCAAATGTAAAAGCACCTATCTGGGTTTAATTATTCCTCATGGACTGAGTGTAATATCATGTTGTGCATGGTATCTCAGGACTTCTCGCAACACTACTACAACTGGTCGGTCTTCGTTGTTGTTGGGTACTGGCTGTAGCTTTTGTAGTAACCTTACAGCTTAATCTAAATGCAAACCTTGATTCTTTCCTTTATGTAAAGTTCTTTTAGTAGTCTCAGTTATCACTAATGGCATGATATTTCCTTTATATTTGGTCAAGTTTTAATTTTGAGCTCATTTGATGCTCTTTTGTTCCTCCATTCTAAGTTTCTCTCTTCTCTTTCCTTATTTTCTTGGCCTTATTTATTCTAATTTATTAAGAAACCGTAGCTGGGCTGGCCAAATAGCTCAGCAGATTAAAGTGCCTGCTTAGGTGGACACGGTGGCTGGGAGCTCGATCCCCAGGCCTACCGTGTCGGCCCCACCCCTGGGGCATGCTGAGATGGCAATTGAGACTGGGCATGTTGGCACTTGCCTGTAATCCCAGCTCTTGGGAGGCTGTAAACAGGCAGATCACTATGAGTAGATCTAATAGTGAGACCTTGCAGGCCCTGTATGAAATAAAAAAAAAATAGAAAAGAAAAAAAGAAAAGAAAAAGAAAAAAAGAAAGAAAAAGAAACCGTGGCTGTTCCATAGGGTATCCTGGGGTGAGCGCCTGGACCTGGCCCTTGTCAGAAGGGAGTTCACAGTCACTTGAGGGCTGTAGCACACATCAGAACTGATGCTGTACAAGGTGGGATTGCCGTGTGGGCCTTGAAGGAAGGAGGGTGGAGAGGGGCACATCATGGGAGGAGCTACCCATGAGGGACATGGCCCAGGGGCAAAACTCAAGTAGGTAAAACTGCAGGGCAGTGCTCAGCCATCAGCCATCAGTGGGTGGTGCGTTTGAAGGGGAAACCCCAGAGGAGTGTGGAGCTAGGACTTGGGAGGGGGAGGCAGAGTCTGGCAGCGAGCACAGCATCACCATCCCTGTGCTTAGGAGTTTGCAGACTGTGGCCAGTGTGAAGACAAATGCTTGGTGCCCTGTCAGGTTCTAGGGCCTCTGAAAGACTATTTGTCCTGATAGGTCAGTCCAGGTGCTTCTGTGACATGTGCCAACCATGTTTTGTTAGAGTACCTGTTAGACTACTGGTCTTCCATGAATGCACCTGGAAATTTCCCTCTGATGGATCCATTCTGGGAGCTGATGGGCTGGGATTCCTACTTTGAAATGACTGGATAAAGGGAAACCTGTGGGGCTATGTAGACAAAGCTCCTCATTCAGTAACAACTTGAACTTGATTCTTACCTTTATACAGACAGCCCCTGGGAGGCAGAGGCCCCAGAGTGATTCCTGCTGGGGCACAGAAGCTGAAAGTGCATTCTGGGAAGATTTTGTTGCGGTCATTTGTGTGTCCTGTCAGTGTTCATGGCCTTAAAATTTCTAAATCTTTATATATGATCTCTTTCTTTTTCTCTGGGCAGGAATCTTACATCCTTTCTGCAGAACTTGGAGAAAAATGTGAAGCCATAGGCAAGAAGATATTGCATTTAGAAGATCAGCTTCACACAGCAATCCATAGTCGTGATGAAGACCTTATTCATATCCTTTTCATCTTACAGATGAAGCACCTGAAAGGTTATTTTGCAAAAGAAAATCTTAAAAAGTTACGCTATTTCCATCTGCCTGATGGAAACAAATTATGGAGCAATTACCCACATGCAACATTTTCTCTCTAGTTTTCATTAAACAACTCAATATTTTTGATTATTAAGCCTGACCACTCAAAGGTAACCACAAGGTCAGGCATGCACACAACGAAGTCAAAGCCAAATGGAATTTCAGTGGGTATGAAGCTGGGTCTATCCAGCCTTTGGGAAATCATCAGAAGCAAAGCATTCGACTAGCTCAGTTTCTAAAGGGCTTTAAAAAAACGAGAAACCCAAGTGCATCCTCAGATTTGTTCCTCATACAATTCTGCCACATAAAGGGCGGTAGAGTATCAAAGCTAATAACTGTTTGGATCATTCCTTTTCAGTGTGCAGCTACAAACACACAGTTAAGTTCAACTCAGTCCTTTTCTATTTTTCATCATAGGCTTTTCTTGCACTGGGCTCAATGTCCTTGGGGTCAAGCTCCACAGACACTTGTGTCAAAACTGGCTGCGGTGAGCAAGGTGGCAGGAGGGTGTTAGGTTATATCTGTGAGGCGCTTCACACTAGGGGACATGTGGAGGTTGTGCATTGGTGAGTCCTCTAAGAACAGATGGAAGGGTATGTGATTAGATAAAGGGATAAGTAGACTTATGCTGTATGTTTTTAGTTCTTAAATGACAAGTTGGTATTTTCTGGCTAAAACCACTTTCCAGTTCATTCATTCATTCTATTCACTGGCATGGCTTCCATTAGATGTGTTTGTAGGAGATTTGTTTTGACCTTTGCTTCTCATTGTAACCTTCCTAGAATTCCAGTTATTATCATACATTATCTGTATGTGTAAATAGCTTTGAATAGCTCAGGATTAATCTTAGTCAAAAATATTCAGACATATGGTTTAATGATGAATTCAACATCATTTTCTTTCTTGTTATACCTTTAAATTTTGGACCTTGCTTATTAAACCTAGCAGGATATTTCTTTAATTCAGTCAGAAATTATTTTCACATTGCTCGAGGCACATTTTTAGGAATTTCTGTCTTTTCTAATTTCTGCCTCTTACAAAACCAGTGTCAAAGCTGTTCTTGGAAAGTTGCCTCCAAGCAGCAGAAAGTGCAATGGCACCTTTTGCTGTTCACACTCTCAGGGGTCCCAGATTGAAGCTCGCCTAAGGGGCCATGGTGTCCATGAGCAGCCAGCAGCTACCTCTGGGTGCATGGCAGCTGCCTGCTTCAGCAAGCCAAGCCTGCAGAGGGTCCCGGCCCTGCCAGTGTGTGAGTGTCCTGAGCAGGAGGCACCTTGGCCTAGGAGGGGCCAGGAGCTCTTTTGAGAGCTGCAGCCGGTGTCTGCTGTTTTGAAATTTTCAGAAGATTAGTTTGATTATAAGCCATTATCTTGTCCTTACCCAGGAGAGGAGGCTGAGGAGGGGCTGAACAGTGTTTCAAGGAGTCTGTGGCTTTTCTACAGCCAATCTGAGCCAGGCTTAGTAGAATGGATGTCCCGAGCCAGTGGGTCAGTCAACGAAGGTCACCTGGGACAGGAGCGGGGAATTGAGGAGGGGACAAAGGACAGGAGACGTGAGAAATGGAGACAAGACAGGATTCTGATCAAGTCTCATTTATTCAAAGGAAACTCTTGGGTATATATAGTGGAGGCATAGGGAAATGACGACACAGGTAAAAGGCGCGAGTAACTAGGCAACCGGGCCATGACATGAAGTCCCACCTCTGGGGCATAGCAGGAGACTTATGGGAAATAGGCAGGGTAAGAAGAATTAAGAGCTCAGCTCAGCAGAGGTAGGGGAAGAGGAACCCGGAAACCCACTTGCAATAGGATTGGAGGCCTGGAGTTATTGAGCCTCCCACAAATGAAATCAGAGACAAATGTGGGAGCACTGGCAACCTTGTTTGCAGCATGAGGATGGTTGTAAGCCCGTCTAAGTTTTTATGGTGCTAAGGGAGGCTGTATGCATACCCTATGCTTAGCACAGTCCTCATCTGCAGCAAGGACTTGGGGGCCAAGGTCATTCCTTGGTCTCACTGCTCTCAGCTCCTTTGTCCCAATGTCACACTGCATCCTGTTTGCACATACATAGGTTCAACATAGGTGGTTTCGATCCCCTTGTGATAAATGTTTGAAGGACTCAGTAGCCCCATGATGGTTTATGTAAGAAGTCATTTGTTGCAAAATTGCTCTAAGTAGGTAGCGATTCTTGTCCCTGCTTTACAGTCAGAAAAATGGAAGCTTAGCAGGTAGCAGGTCCAGGGTCATCTCTAATAGTCCAGGCCCAGACCCTGGCCCTGGCCACATGTGGCCCAGCAGGAGACAGCTATGCTTGTATGGGAAGGGAAGGGTCTGTTCAGCAGAGGAGACAGTCACTTTAAATTTTAAACTCTAGACTCAGGTGTGGTGGGGCACATCTATAATCCCAGCACTCAGGGAACCTGAGGCAGGAGGTTTACAAATTTGAGCCCAGCCTGGGCAACTCAGCAATTGTCTGAAAATAAAAAATAAGAAAGGATGAAGGATGTAGTTCACTGTAAAGTCACTGGGTTCAATCTGCGACACCCCACCCATCCAAGCTATAATAAGCATGGAAGTCCCCTTGCCTTTGGGAATTCTATGTTGAGATAAGTGAGGAAATGTCAAGCTAGCGTTGGGCTATCAAATACTGGTATAAACGCCAAAGCCAGCCCTTTCCCCTCTTTAAATACAGTCCATTCCTCAAGATGGATTTCAACCCAGAGTTTCCTTAGAAGCTCAGGCTGTGTCCGCATCAGTGATTGAGAATAGATACACAAAAGCATCTTTAAACTCATACACTCAAGGGGGACACTGTGCTTTGTATTTACCCAGCCCTGTGGGGCTACCTAGCAAACAAAGCCATTGTTTCAGAGTAGAACTTATCTCAAGGTTCAAAGGGACTGCCAGAATCCTCCTACCAAACTCTTCCAGGCCTGTATTTTCATTTTTTTGATCACAGATTTAGTGCTGAGAGTGGTTGAAAGGAGCAGCTTGTTGCCTACGACACAGATGAGCCTCCTGGGGAGTATGCTAGCTATATTGTTGGTGCTATCGCTTCCTGCCTGGATAGTGAGGGGGACAAGATTAATCCAAGTCCACGCAGAGAGTGGGCCCCCCAGGAACAACGTGTCTGGAGGCTACTGTGTCCATGCTCCCAGCAGGAGCACAGGGCATCTGCATAAGCTACATGTACGCATGTATGTGTCTGGTGGCCCCCCAGAGCGACCAGCAAGTGATGGGTGGGACAGCACCAGGAGTTTCCAGACAGGTCTTCCTGGCATCCTGTTTAAAGTCACAGTTACTGGCAGCCTGCTGGGAGTCTCCTTTTACAAAGATGCTGGATTAACAAATCTGGAATGGGGGGATGGGCCCTGTCTTTTCATGGCCCTGACAGGCTTGCTAAATTACGTGTAGCACAGCCAGATGAGAGCCCCAGACAGCCAGCTGCTACTGTGGGGGTGTCTGAGAAGGGTCTGCACCACTAATTGGGGGAGCAGGCTGCAGGAGGGTCTCATGCAGGAACCAGGAAGGGACCAGCAGTGCATGCGACTTCACAGCCAGGGAGCGGGATCCAGGAGCCAGAGTCTGAGCCTAGCATACAATTTCACAGTCCTTGTGGATCCTAATTAGCAGTTACATTTTGAAAAACCATTTGAATGTGTAATGGTTCCTCTATGTTCAAGATGTATTAACTAAAAACCTGCTGGGTTGGGGTGGATTTTTAAGCAGAAATTTTTACATTTCTTTCTCCAACTTCTGCATGCCACTCACTATCAGAAGCAAAGAAAGACACCTGGGATTTGCACATTTGAGGCATAGTTTAACACCACCCTCCTCACCCCCGCAGGGCAGCTCTGCCTGCCTGAGAGTCACAGACAAGGTGGGGACAGACTAATTCTATTTGCAGTTGTATTTACATCCGTGTCCGGAAGCCCTTATGGAATTCTATTCTCTTTGCTCATTTGGAATGCGTGGCGCCCAATTGATTAGTTTTGGTGAGCTTGATGCATGTAAAGACGCTAAATACATTCAGGCTCATGCATGAGCACCCAGCCCCCGAAGGGCTCTTGTCTGGTTCAACTTTCTAATGTATAGGCTGAAGGAACAAAGGTAGTAAGGGTAGGGGGGAAATTCTCCTCTCCTTGGAAATGTTTTCTGCCCCAAGAGCTGAAGAGTTGAGAGAGGATCATGAAAACCTTGAGCTCCTCTCAGGATCTTACAGATAGGAAGAGTAAGCCCATGAGGCTGCTCTGTAAGGCATTAGGCGGCCTGGGTGGGTGCAGGGTGGAGACCGCAGAGCTTCCCCTGGGCTCCCACTGAGGCTGGAATGGACAGTTTGAAGCATACTGCAGTGGGAGAAAGCACGGAAATGGCTGTCCACTGCTGGCCTACATGATGGTCTTGGCCCAAGGTAGACAATACAGAGCCCCGCGTGCATCTACTGAGTTCTTTGATTTGGGTCCTCAGAGTGGTCTCCCCTGCTCAGAGTTACTGACCTGGACCTCTGACTTTTCTGTAGGCCATAGTGACTACAGAGGAAAGCGTGTAACTAAAAAGAAATAATGAAACAAGTGAGAAATAGTTTCAAAGGCTATACCCTTTTCTCCTTTTAAACCAAACTAGGTCAGATGAGCTGAAGACCTACTTTTGACTGAGCCATCAGAATGAACTCGTGGAATCCAGGGCAAACCTGGGCAACTCAGCAAGACCCTGTCTCAAAATTTAAAAAGGGAGTGGGGGTAGAGCCAGAGCTCAGTGGGAGAGCACTGTGTCACTTCTAAGAGGCCCTGGATTCTATCCCCAGTGCAACAACAGAAGAAAAGAGCAATCACTGGGAAAGGCCATTGAAGGTAAAACACTCAGTTACTTTTATATGAAAACAAAGCCTCCAATGGAAGCATTCCTAGGTCTTCTGCAAAGACAGTCGTCGGTCACCACTGCATTCCTGGGTGCCTCACAGCCACACCCCCTTACTGGTCTTCAGCACTGACATTTCAATAGGTTATGCATTTGCCAAGTAAGTAGGCAGTCCATGCTAAGCCCCGTGCCATCACAGGAATTCATGTCTAAATTTTCTTAGGATATCACAGGCACCTGGTGGCGTGTCTGTCAGGGGACTTTGAACTTGACCACGCAGTTTTCTTGGGCACAAGTGCCATCACACAGCAGTCCCTTGAGGCTTGTCTTGTACTTGCTTAGAGGCTCTGAGTACCCTATTATGACACCTAAGACTCCAGCACTGGAATTTGACTTCATTCAGCCCTTCGGAAAGAAATCAAGGTCAAATATGTCAGTGGGCTTCCACTGTAAACTTGTATTAGCATCAGGAAACCAGATTGTAGCCTGATCTTGGGTCAATGTATCAAATGGAATAGTTTATTTATTGCAAATCAGTGAGAAAATGTTATGAAAAATACAACAGGCTTGTGCATAAGCACCATAGTTCCTGAAGGACTCCCACAGGATGTGGGAGGTTGTGGAAACCAGGTCCCCTCAACTTTCCAAGGACAGCTTGAAAGACAAAGGTAGCAGAAGTTTTGCTGGATTGTCTCCTTGGGAATGTTTTTTTGCCCCTAGACACAAGGAGCTGGGAGAAAGAGCTTTCACAGAAATCATAGTCAAAGAGGCCAGTGGGCCTCACCTATGAACTTGTTGGATCAGCCAATACTTTAAAAATATACTATATATGGCTCAGTGTAACCTCCAAGCGCACATTGCTAGCTGTGACCAAGAGGCTTTTCCAGTATCCTTTATCTCATACTGAGCTTCTCTCACCACACACACACACACACACACACACACACACACACACACACACCACCATGCCCCTCAGCCTTTAATATACTACAGGCCTATTTTCCCAATTTCTGCAAGTTGGGTTTTTTCCCCCCTATTTCAGCCCTAACTATTCAAATCATCCAAAATATTTTAGAACTTTCATTTTGTAAGGAAAAACATGGTGGCTTGGTTAAAGAGAGAAGCTTTGCAAATAAATCTGAGTTTAATTATTTTAATGATCATTACCTCATAAACTCACCAGATACAGTTTTCCACATTTCTGATGCTTTGCTCTGTCAGGGCCTAAGTCATTTGTTGTATCTGTTGTGTTAAGAAATAAACCTTAAATTTCATGGTGTGTAACAATGAACAAAAGGCACTATTTTTTCACAAGAAGAAAAAATCCTAATGCTGTGAAGAAAATGTAAGATTCACAAGTGGAGCAATTAAAGATGAACTAAATTGTCTAGCTTCATGGGGATTTGTATCTTCAAATCCCCCGCCCCCTTTTCTGACCCTTGGGTGTGTTAGCAGAGATTAGCATAGGAGGGGATGATTTGTTAATTGTGTAAGTTAGCCTCTTTCTTTCACAGCTTCTCTTTCCCTTTAGCCCTCTCAGTTTCATCCACCAGTATTAGAAGTTTTCTGAATTTTATTTTGAGAAACAACGCATTTTGGTTTAATTTCTTTCTCTACAAACCTTTGTCATCACTTAGCGGATTACAAATAGTGGTGTGTAGTTCCAGGCTTCATATCAAAGGTAATTAAGTCCCAGGAGTTTGTCAGCATTCATAAACCACCTGAGCTCTGTGGTTTATAAATGTGCAGACTTTGTGATGAATTGCTGTGTGGTATTTGATCTGGGACCATTTATGCTTTTTGCTGATATGAAGTTGTATGTATCTTCAGTAAAGATTAGTAGATCTGTCCAGTGGAGAAATGGAGAACAAAATTTCCTTTGGAAGGAAGGGAATCAGCAAGGGAAGGGAGGGAATAAAGGAGGGGAAATATTGGATTCTTTATCTCTTCTTCCCCCTCTGCCACTCTCATTGCCCTCAAGTTCAAGTACAAGCCATGAACCAGCACAGCAAATGTGTGTAGATTTCACCAAGGAGGAGCCTAGTGAACTCCAAGGGGCTGAAAAGCTGGGTAGTTCAGCATTTCTGCTTGTGAGAGGCTCATTCACATGATCCCCAGTGTGCTCTGGAGTTCCTTCTTCAGAGCAGAAGGGGAAAGCTGTGGACAGCCACACTGTAGAGCTGTCGTTTTCTCTTGACATGGTGATTTCTTAGAGCTGGGTGGAACACTGCAGAGCAGGAAGCAGGTAAGCAGCCAGATTGAGGCTTTTCTCAAACCTCTGTTGCCTCTGTCTCTCACCTAGAATACTTGAATGGCCTGAGATCGGTGATGATTTAAACATTTAAATGGTATGAACCCATTGCACCCCTGTATCCAGAGGAGATGGCATTAGTTTGCTTGCATTTGTCTTAGGGCTGTTCTGAGGCCTATGACAAATAGCAGAAGCCTAAAATCTGACTAAAACCACTTTGTTGGTGAATGCTCATCTGTGTGAATGTTTAGAGAAAAATCTGTTTCTTACAAGAACAGCAGGCTTTGTTGTCCTGCTTTACTATTTGTTGAGTTCTTTATGACTATTTTCTCTATCTGAGAAACAACTTTACAAGTCAGACAGTTAAGTACTCACCAGTTTAAGAAGATTCAAACCAGCTGACTCAGAAACAACAGACTTCTTGCTCACCAGTCGATGCTGGAGCACCTTACTTGATGTCTAGAACATGCTGAGTGAGAACGGCGCTCAGCGTTGAGGGTTTGAAGCCTTGTTTCATGAGAAAACTATGAAGGAGCTTGCACCAGGTGAGCAGATGGTTAGTGGTTCACTGTCCATGACACAAGATGGTCCAGTGTTTGCTCTGTTGTGACAGTGGCCCCGGGTTCTGCTGCCTTGAGGAGGCTTTGATTTCTGCACTGAGAGCAGTTGGGTCTGACAGCCGCCACCCCAGCTCAGGGCTTAGCGGCAGAATGGTCGCACTAACCACGTAGCATCAAGCATCTGAGGGGCCATCTGTCTCAGCCCGGGAGCTCACTCTTCCTTCTGCATTTTGAAAATCATACTTGAGATAGTTAATGACCCCAGGCCTTGTAGAATTGCAATAGCTCTTAAAAGAAGTGTAAAATTTGTATCAATATTTAATTCCTACAATTTGGGAGAACTTGGAACTGCAATTAGATGGCAAAGCCCATCTGCTCCCGGCAGGCACACTTGCTCTCCTGGTTCCCTGGGAGGCTGTGGAAACCGGCTCCCCTCCCACTCTTCCTTAACGGCACCCACAGTCTCTCAAGGGGCAGCTCCAGATGGTGAAGGAGACGCTGCAGGCCATGTTTCTGCAGCTCCAGCCAGCAAAGGAGGTGGGAGGAGGAGAAGCTGGGGCCGCTGCGCAGCAGCTGCATCCTGGGAAGTACAGCCCCGAAGGGGCCCGGGAAGGAGATGGTTTATGCGTCACAAGGATGGACTCCCTCGTCGCGGATGTGCCCAGCTTAATCATGGAGACAGAGCCACGAGTCTCCCAGCAGGAAGCGGGACCCTTTTATTCTCTTGAATGAGATGGAAAGTCTGGAAGTCGGGATATTGGAGTGCATTTTACTGGCTTTCCTTCTAACTGTCACTTAGAAGTTCCTTTCCCATGTCATTTGTGGGAGTGATTTTTCCTCTCACCCCCCGCTGAACAGTTGAGAGTGAATTCTGCTGCAACAGTCTCTTTTCCTTGCACTGTTTTGCTTTCAGCTGCAACAAAAATAGTTCCTGCATCAAGGTCAAGTAGAGAGGACACCGAATCGAAGGCTAGGGTTGCACACCTGCTGCTTTCCTGTGAGCACATGAGCTAGGCAGCCCCAGAGCCTGCGGAGGCAGCCTCCACCTCACTGCTCCTATGCCTGACCACTGTCCTGGGAAACTTCTCAGGCACTGGACTCCCTGCACGAACAGCAAGCTGGGCTTTTGTGGCAGTGACTGCATCTACAACAAGGACCCAGAATGTAGGGGAAGGGCACTGGCAAAGAGGATGTGCGGGAGAGGGCAGGGCATGGATGAGGAGGAGATGGCCCCGCCTCTCCTCTTCCTGCTGAACCTTTTTCCACGGCTGCCAGGCGGTTGACAGAGCCAGGATGGATTCACTATCCTGCACAGATTCCATAGGCCAAGCAGTGGTCCCTGGGGTTCTTGCAGGCCCTGCTGGGATGCTCTTCTGGCCTGCAGGGACTCCTGCTGTGATGGTAGCAAAGCAAGCTGCACACTTAGGTTCATTGCCCCAAGGGTCCCCAGGAGTGCCCTGCAGACATTAGGTGACCGCCACACACTGTAACTTTTGTGTGGAGACCTCGTGCATGTTAGCGTGCATGCATGTAGGAGCCAAATGAAGACGCCCACTCGTTTTTGTTCAACCCCCAGCTCCCACAGAGTTTAATGGCTTGTGTATTTTTTCTAATACCCCCAGTGGCAGGTTGGCCAGTATTGTAGTCTCTGGGAGGTCTTTTTGTGAACAGTGACTTACATCACTGACTTGTGTGCTGGAGACCAACCCAACTTTCCCACCATGCTGAGCCTGCAGCTACCCGCACAGTCTGAGAAGCTGCAGTGGATAATGAGGCCTGTTGTGCTCCTGCTCCCACTATTTGTGCAGGGCCGGTAATGTTGCTGCTACCATGGCGATCCATGGACAGGTGACATTTTTATTATTTCCTGGTCACATGGTCATTTCCAGAAGGTGGCTGGTGCTTTGCTCAGCCTTCTGTGCTGCATGACACCTCTGTCCTATCAAGCGGAAGCTTTGCTTAAGCCAGCACTTGGCCAGAGGCCAGGCAACCTAGCAAAAGTGCCTGATGTATGAACACACTGCATTGTAAAAAACATACTGCATATTTGAATCATAAGCATAATTACTTTGTTCAGCAGACTTGATTTTTCAATAATGGACCAAATTCCTGAATTATTTATAATCATATCTTAAAAAGTACTGGCACCTGGAATCTTTAAATCCTTTAATTCCAGGGAAGCAGTGTTGAAGAAAGTCAGGACTGACCACATTGCCAGAAACAAATTCCTACTCTGGTGTGTTTTTGAACAGCCTCCTGGACACAGGGCATTTGATGGTCACAAGCCCAAGTGTTTTTTATTAATAAGATACCACCGTGAAATAATTCTGTGAGGTCATGAAGGGTCTGAAAATTCCAGATGTTAATAACAACTTTGAGTGTGCCCTAGAAGGGCCTCTTTGGTCCTTCCAGGGATGGAGTAGCTACTTCCTTGTTAAGATTTTCTGTTAAACTTCAGGATGGAGCAAGAGAGTGACACTTCAGCCTCATGCTGTTCCTCACCCCTCACTACTGCTTGGTTCTGGAGTGTCATCAGGAGGCTGCAAAGGCCAGGGGCTTCTTCAGCTATCTGCCTTCTCATGCCAACAGCACTGTCCTCAGAGCAGCACCATGTATCCCCAGCCATTCTTTCTATAGGACAGTTTTCCAGGGCAACATAAAAATACACAAGAAAAGTTAGGATTAAAAAAAAAGAAAGAAAAATTAGGATTTAGATTTAAAAGCACAACAATAAAAGCTTAAGCTGTTATGGAGGTAACCATGACCATGGCAAAAGCGCACCTTGAAAATGGTTCCTCGAGGGTTTGATTTCACCATGCCATGGCAGGAGAAAAGAAGTGCGTATTACGCTCTCATCTTTCAGAGATGCTGGCCTTCAAGTGGCCATCCCATCACCAACACGTTAGCTCTTTGAGCATCCTGAAATTTAAGACTGAATTCTGAAATTTTAAGGCTGTAATGATGGAGAGTTGTTCTCCTCTGCAGTAGGGCTGGTTTCCTCTATAACAAGTTCAAGTTCAATTCTGTTCCATGCTGGGCCCTCACCATGATGTTGTCCTTTAATCCTTATATCATCCTCAAGAGGTGGTGTCTGCGGATGGGGCTCCTGAGCCCTAGGAAGGCTGATTCCCAAGGCTCAGAGCTGGGAAGAGGGGGATGAGAGTAACCTAGGAGCTAACGACAGGCTGCTACCTGGACTAGGGCTCTGCCCCAAGTGTCCGTAACATCCTGGTGGGACTGTGAGCCACGGAACTATTGGGTTCACCCAGTTACATGTTCACAACCACTTGGGAATCCTGCCCAGAGAGTGGGAGAAACCAGAGCTAGGGCAGCCAAGGCTCCCTATCCTCCAGGCCAGCCCCACTGTGTGGTCCAAATTCAGACAGGCGGCAGCAGCCCACCAACCCCACTACTGTCCTGCTCCATGTTCCCATGTATGGAGAAGGCATCCCAGGACAACCACCCACAGCTGACACTGGGCAGATTTTCCTGAAGATCCTCATGTTATCAATATTTCTCAGAAAGCATCTGTGTGCCAGGAAGTCTATTCTGGAGAGAAAGTAACTATATGCTCATTAATCAAGCATGTTCATATATAAAATCCATACTTTTATTTCTAATATCCTCACCTTATCTAATGCTTGAGTTTTGTCATGTAATTTATTGCTTCATTAAGTTTACTTTTCTAACACAAAATTAAGTGATCTTCAAACCATGGTGCTCTTAATGATTTTTGTCTTCCCAGGTTTAAATGATAGAAAAATGTATCAGGTTTATTCATCTTCTTTTTCTGCTACAGGGTGATTAATTGTATGATTATTCACATCACACTGAACCTTTGTAATAAAGCTATGCTTTAAGTCTTCATATGTGTTTATTTTCAGATATCAACACATCAGATTGTATTCCAGACCTCTTGGCTGGGGAGCTCTAAAGTAGCAATTACTGGATAGAAGGAGCAAGACAAGGGTGCCACTGACACGAGGGAAAACGGGTCACTGGCCACACAGGCTGGTTCAGGGAGGCATGAACATGTCTGAAGGTCACAATTTGGGAAGGAGGAAACACATCTCCGTGTTCACAGGGGATGTCAGTACAAAGGTGGGAGAGCGAAGTGAGCAGGGAAGCACTCGTGCAACCTCCAGGCCCAACTCTATAGGCTGTGCGATCCACACTCACAAGGTAGAGGGCTACAAATGAGCCATTTCCAGAAGCAATGGGAAACAGAGGAAATGGCTCAGAATATGTTGAAGTAAGAAACATATGTCTTTGATGAAGGAAATTTTAAGGTAATGGGCACAGGTACAGAGAAGTTGGGAAGGCTTCCTTTCGTGTTCCTGTGGAATAAGTCTGTATTTGGCTCAATTTTAGATGTGCTTTTAAGTATCATGCCACTCTTTCCTGTGCTAAAAAAGAAGTTATGCAAGATACCAGCAGGAAGGACAGCTCAGATAATACTTATGCCTCATGATGGCTACAGGACAGACAACTTCGTGAATGCAGTGGAACCAGAGTTTTCTTTCCAAGCATGAGAGCTCTGTCCATTTGTTTCGTCCCTCACTCGGGAAGCACTTATTGAGCTCCCACCTTAAGTGCCCTTCCACCAGATGGACGAATTTACGAGTACAGAGGTTGAGAGGCTTAGTGAAAATTATCCAGCAAGTAATTTTAAGTGTTGACCCCTGTAACTCTTGGTTTTGAATTAACATAATAAATATCAATCAACCCCCAGACACACACACACACACACACACACACACACACACACACACAGCTATTTACTTAATGTTGAGCAAGCTACCTATTATTTCTTGTTTCCTGTAAGATTTTTATTGATAAGGAAATTCAAACAAAATTGTCTACAAAGATTCATGTGTAGCCTATTATCTTTTGTTTCTAGTCTTTATTAAAAAAAATCACATTTTTACCAATATGTAGCCAGCTTATTTTCATTCTTCTTTTAATGTTTAATATTATGGTACTTTGCTGCATGATTATAATACTCATTGCTCTCATTGCTGCACAATATTCTATCCAAATGACCTACCATGGCTTAGGTAGTGTCATGTAATTGAACATTAAATTTTTCTGATATTAGCCGTGAAAGGTAATGCTACAGTTAAGGAGTTGTGCATGTGAACTTTCTGTCCTTCTGAACTACATCCTGAGGAGAAATTCCAAGGACAGAGAGTACTGAAAGAAGAAAAAGCAGCATAGCTGAAGTGAAGCTAACATCAGGGGGAAATGTTGAAGATGCTAATCATTGTTTCTGGCTAGGCATGGAGGAGCCTGATTGAATTTGTAGGATTTGCACTCCTTGCAAATAGCTCCACTATCCCGCAATGGAGCTTCTCAGTAGACAACAACTACCATCAAGTCAGCAGTCTCGCCCCTGTAGTGGCATCATCCTTTTTAAAAAAATGTATTTAGTATAGGGTCTACAGGGTCTCACTACATAGATCAGACTCTAGTGATCTTCCTGTGTTCAGCCTCCCAAGTACTGGGATTGCAGGCATGTGACACTACGCCCAGTTTCAATCACCATCTCAGAGCACCCTGGGGGTGGGGCTGGCACGGCATGCTGGAGATCAGATCCAGTCCCTGTGTCTACCTAAGCAGGCACTTTAGTCTGCTGAGCTATCTGGCTGCTCCTTGTAGTGGCATCTTGCTGCTCTTAGGTCTGTTTCCATGGGCCTGTGCCTATGCCACCTTGTTTTCAGATAAAAGTGGTGAACACTGAAACTAGGACTAGAGACTGGACTGAGGTCGCTCTGCTGGCCCCTTGTGAGATTGTAGGCTGATTGCTTACTCCCTGACTCTTAGTGTGAATGCTACAGACTGAAGATGGTAGAATAAATCCTGTCTTCAGGGTTGTGCAAGAATTCAGAGGAGCCAATGGATGCTGAAGACATTTAGAAAATTAAGCAGCATATGTGTACATTTAAACATTAACAGTGTGTCTTTTTAAAATTATATTTACTTAGAAGCATTCAGAATGTCAACAAAACAGTTGCAACTTTTTTTTTTTTTTTTTTTGCAATTACAGAGTGGTATTCAGTTAACAGAACAACAGTTATTTTGTATAAGCTGCATCACAGACAACTGAAGATGAAAAGCTACCGTTCCCATATATAACTAATTTGTGCTGTGCACCAACAAGAACCAGCTTTAAATTTCCATGCCAATTTACAAGCCCTATGCTGTACTAGGCAAGGTTAGTGGCTATTGAAAATGCCACCAGGACAGGGCTATGTAAAGACACATTTGGTAGTGCGTTAACTTTGCAAACAAACAAACAAAGACAATGCATGGTTTAACAACAAATATAAAACAACCTTACATTTCATTTTTTTATTCAAAAGGAGTGAGTTGTGTACAGGGGGGCAGGGGTTAAAGGCTTTATAGGCAAGAAAAATAACTGTCCTAGAACCAACTTATTCATCATCATCCTCTTCCTCCTCCTCCTCTTCCTTCTTTTTCTTGTGTTTTTCAGCCTTGATGACTCCCTTTTTTGCTGCATCAGGTTTTCCTTTAGCCCGGTGGCAGAGATGTCCTTTTCATACTTCTCCTTCAGCTTCGCAACCTTCTCATATGGCTGCTTTGCAGTATTATTCCACATTCCTCCAAGTTACTTTGTGACATCACCAGTGGAGAGGCCAGGATGTTCTCCTTTGATTTTTGGGTGATACTCAGAACAGAACAAGAAGGCCAAAGGTGGCCTCTTGGGTGCATTGGGATCCTTGAACTTCTTTTTTGTTTCTCCTTTAGGAGGTATATAAGTTTTCATTTTTCTTTCATAATGAGCCTTGTCTGCTTTTGACATGTCTTCAGATTTTCCTTTTCCTTTTTTTTTTCATGGAATAGAAGAGATTTTATTTCATTTTAAAGAGAATTCATACAGCATTGATTATATAGTCACTTGTCAATGTACTTTGTTGTCCACTTAAGAAATCAGGATACACCATAAGAATTAGTAATGTCAAAACATGATAACTGGTTATTATCTAGGGTACAAATACACAATCATTTGATGTTTTATTGAACGAAAAGCAAAAGAGTCACCATCTTTGCCTTTGTTGTATGCAGGTGAGGCAGGAACCATGGAGGGCATGGTGGCAATTTCCTTGGCAGGAAAGGTCTGCGCCCCGGAGTCCTGTCATGTCGTCAGAAGACTACCCCATGTTCTGTCGGTTGCCATAGCCCCTTGGGTGGGTGTCCTTCCACTCATACCACTCATCATCCTCTTTCTCCTTTTCTTCATTGTCTTTTTCCTGAGCCACTCTCTGGAAATCAACTACAGCTGGTGTTGAGTTGGCTATTCCCTGGTCTGGTAACACTCCATGTTTCCGATGCTGCTCATACCAGTCACTCACTGTCATAGTTGCCAGACTTGGATAACCAGCTCCAAATACTTTGGACTGGGCCTTGTCCCGAGTGAGGATGAAGGATTTCATTGGAGGTCTATCCTGAAGAGATGACTGAGAAGTTGATGCCTCTCTGAAAGAGTCTTTTTCTCCAAGGATCTTTATTTCCTGGTCAATGCTCTCAATCTCCTCTAAGCTGATTCCAATCCATCTCCGCAGGTGAAGGAGGCGATATTCCCGAACTTGCTCATCATCTGCTTGACCACTTTCCACAGCAGATTTCAGTGCAGACAACCTATATTCCACCTGTTTCTTCTCTCTGTATCTATTTTAGCCTTCCTTTGAGACGTCATACCAAGGAGGTTAGCATAGGCCACGGAAGAACTAGCAGTGTTATTTTCAACTGAGTTGTTCTTGTCAAGTTGTTTGGGCAGCTGAAACTCTGCCACATGGTAATAATGGCACTGAGTTTAGTTTATAAAATGTTCTCGAGCCTGCTGTAAATGATCTAGCCGCTTGCTGGGGTTGACTTGTTTCATGGTGAGGGCTCCTTGTAACGCTGGCACCATCAGGTACTTCAGGTCGATGGACGCAATTTCTTCTAAATCTTCATTTCGGCTGAACAAATCGAGTTGCGATAGCATTTCAGCAGCCTTCTCAAGTAGATCTAGTCCCTTGATCACTCTGTCCTGGATTATCTTGGCGCCGGTGGGTTCATTGGCTACTTCTACTTCCTCCAGAAGCTGTTTGCTGGTTTCGAACAGCTCGGGAAGTCGAGGCAGATCTAAGCTGTCCTCAGACGCTGCCACCTTGGAGTGGGAGGAACGCAGAGCATTTGCTTCCGGGTTCAAGGGCAACCCGGCTAAAGTAAACCACAAGTGCGTGCATGCGTGCGTGCGTGCGTGCAGCAGACCCCGGAAGTGGCGCTGCAATGGCCAGTCCTGCCATTGTTACCAAAGCCGTGAGGGTCTCTGGGAGCGGCGATTAGCCGGCCTGGGCAAGACAGCCGTCTCCATTGACTCATTTTACCAGGAAGCCTGGTAAAAGCTACAGGCATCTGTTAAAAACACACACAAGCAAAACCCTAGGCGCTATTTTACGGCCTGCTTCTCGCTGCGGACGGATGGCGGACTGGGAAGTTTTGTGGGGTCTGGGGGGTGGGGCGGGGGGGGGACGTGGGAAGGCGTGAGAGGCGGGGGCGGCCGCGGCGCGCCCCAGGACCTGTCCGGAGCGCGTCTTACCTCGCAAGGCGCTCCCCTGGTGGAGGCTCCCCACGGCCGGACGCCCCAGCCGCCGCCCCGGGCCCTGAGGTCCAGCCACGCCAGCGCCAGGTGCAGGTGGCCAGATTTTCCTTTTTCTTTAGCAGGTGTGATCTTCCACCTCTCTGAACACTTCTTAGAAAACTCTGAGAAGTTAACGGAAGCATCTGGGTGCTTCTTGTGCTCCTCT